AGCATGTGAGCATTTTAGCAGCAGCTGCAGAAACCATTTCCTCTTTTGGTAGGGCCACCTCAGTGTCAGTTTACTGTTCCCCTGGATCATCACCCCACCTTCCAGAGCTGCTCAGCCCCTCTCACATCCACATACACCCCTAGGAGCTATGGGATCTATTTGGGTGGCAGTTGCTCTTACTTCAAAGCAAAGGAAGTTAAAAATGACTCTACTCACCAAAAGGTGAGAGATCTTGTCTTGTGGTTTTGTGAGCTCTGCCAAACTGTTTAGCTTCTTGACTTTGAAACTTTCTCTAATGAAAGAGACATTTGTTAAATAATGTAAATGCTTCTTGAGCTGTTACAATTTCTCAAAGGATAATTTGCAGAGGGAAGTAGAAGCTCACAATAATGTTAGATTTGTCAGGTCTTGAAGAATAGGAAACTTTCCTTTAGTTTCATACAATAAAAAATTGGGTGCATAAGGCTTGTGGCATATAGTGAAAGAGCATGGGGATTGGACATTGACCTAGTCTGAATGCTGACACCACTACTTACAAGCTGTGGACTGTCTGCAGGGTGGTAACATGCACATTGGTATACTTAACTCGGGTCTTTATGAGGACTGTATCTTTTAAAAATTAGTGCAAATAGTAGGTGCTCTCCTCTCTGTGCTGAAATTCAAATAAACAAATTTCAAATGGTTGGAATGTTAGTAAGTCTTTATACAGTGGAATTATTATTCCTAAATCTAATTCAGAGACTTTCATGATTACAAAATATTCTTTCCTGATTATTCTAAGCCACATTTGATTAACACAGAACAATTAAGTCAAGGCAGACCCAGTGAGGCAGAGTTACTTGCCCAAGATCATCAACCAGCTAGATAGTAGTTCAGTCTGCCCTGAAATCCGGTTTTCCTGATTTCTTGGCAGAGAACAGCAAAAGCTGCTTCTCAAAGACGATATGTAGTAGTCCTATCCACCTTTTCTAATATAAAATAACCACTTTACATAATTTTTTAAATGTCATCGACAACCTTCATTTCATTTCTATCTTATTAGCACTACTTTAGATTTAGTTGCAAAAGAATATACATTTTGACTAAATATTTCTATAAATTTCCTTATGTAAATTTGCATCTTACTAATCACAACAGGACCTATTAATACAAACATATGAAAGAGAGCCATGCATATGAATATGAGACATATTACCTATTTACATGTATTTTGATGCATTTTGCACCCTGTACCCCATAAAACAACTTCATAAGGTCTGTATTTGGAAACTCTGGATATATAGTTCTTCATTTTTTTTCTGTTTTTTTTTTTTTTTTTTTGAAGATCAGCCCTGAGCTAACATCTGTGCCCATCTTCCTCTATTTTGTATACAACTCTTCTCAAAAGAACATGAGTTTCTTAAAGGCAGGGAGGGCAGATTCTTGGAAAAAATGTGAAGAAGGCCCATGTTTATACTGTTTCATTTCCCCTTTTCTCCTCTCTAGCTCTCAGGAAGCCTCCCACACTTGAGGCCCCTCCTGCTATCACATTCCCTTTTGGCTTTATCCAAATCTGAATCTCTTTTTCTAGTATCGCTCAGGGGTTGTATGGGAAAAGCAATGTTAGCCAACTGTGAAGTTAGAAGGGATTTTTAAATTTTATTGGTGGAAAGGTCATGATTTAGGCATATTTTGTTGTAGTTCTCAGAGGTGCTGCATTTTAACCAGGGGCAATTCAGTTCAACAACCATTTATTGAAGCCTATTCCAAGCCTATATAGTGATAGTTACGGCACCTCCCCAGCCCATGCCCACCCCTAGGAGCATGCTCAGAGACATAGACAAATAAAGGAAGTAAGTGAACCCTGTTCATTTAGTATGGGGGTGGAAGCAGGTAGATTATAAAGTTGTACAGTTGTGCAGAAGAAGGAATGATTAAATACAGTTGGGATAATAGGGAGGGCTTGGAATTAATTATACAAGTGGAATAAAAACAAAATTTCAGACATCAGTGATATACTAGTAGGGAAATTACTACCAAGAAGCTAAACTCTGTTTTCTTGTCACATTGACACTTTTGGATAGTAGGGAAAACCTATATACCAAATTTTCAGGAATGCAACTTTCAGATAAATCAACAGAGGATTGTACTTTGTTCTGCTGGGAACTTGACCAAGAGCTGTCTAGCGTCAACAACCAAGGTATGGTGGTTGAATGACCATCTGATAAGGTATTAGAGTTATAACTCACTTAAATAATTTTTATTCTCAAAAAAAGGTACCTGTCACTTTTATTGTGTCAATGCAAATAATCTATGATCTATAAATCAAAATTGGGGTGATTTTTTATGAGCCAGGTCTGACGACTACAGCCTGGGGCCTTCCTTCCCCAAGGAAGGAAGCAAGGGCACCAAAGAAGTGGGGTGTACAGAGTGGTTATATACCGTCTTGGAACAAAGAGCACACATCACATATATAGGAATGTCCCTTTTACAATATTCACGAGATTGCTTTGCTAGCACAGCAGATCAGTGGTCACAAGGTGAGCACAGCAGGTCAGTAATTAATCCTTAGTTTCCAGGAGGAGATGCTTATCCTTAAAGAAATGCCGATATGGGAGGAAGTCACATCCCTATCTTTAAGGGCATCATTCTTGTCTTTAGGGCATTGTAAATGTTTAAAGCAGATGTACAATGCATGCTCAACAGGCCAGATCAGGCCCTTTTGGAAAAACAAGGTCAGGGCAAATTAGTTTTAAGCCAAATGGCTTCCTCATATACTCCAATATATCTTATTGCTTTTCATTTATTTATCAATTTTGATTCTACAATTTTACATAGACATGTAGAGAGCAAGTATCTGAATGTCTCAATCTGTTTTCCGGTATATTCATACATCAGCATTTTAGATGACAGAATATAGGTCTTTTTATTAGGAATTTATTTAAAACATCTTTTTTTGGTTCTTTATATTACATTTGGTATTTTCTTTTTCTTTTCTATTAAGTGCGTAAGTAGCTTATATTATACATGAATTTCAGTTCAGAATCGTAAAAGGTCTCTATAAAATACTCGTTATAAAAATAAAACTGGGTCTGATCAGTTTGATAATCACTAATCAATTTTTCCTCCTGCTAATGGAGGGCTAGTGTTTTATTTTGAGAGAGAACAGTTTGGGAATTATTGGATTAATGGAAATAAACTAAATTGAAAATCAGTTGCCTAAGGTTTATTCCTGAATCTTAGTAACTGGTAATGTGACATTCACCAAGTTATTATCCTCTCTGGGTCTCCATTTCCCAATATTGAAATGAATCCATTAGACTAAGAGGTCTCCAAGATCCCTTTCTACTTATTCATTGAATCAAGACTGTTTTAAACTTTCTTCACAGTTAAATGTGCTACTTTGATTACACCCATTAAAGAAATTTCCAACTTGACTGCTCAACTCTTTAACACTGATGACCTAGTAAAAGTTTTAATGTTTTAACAACCAATGAGAGGCTTTCCCAGAAACTTAGGAAGGCAACATTACTCTGTCAGTCTGTCTCTAAACAGTAAGTATATTAGCTTAATTATATGAAGTCAGCTGTTAATCTTAAATAAAGGGCTGTAAAACCTAGAAGTAGGGTGTTGGCCCCACCCTTGCCTTTCTAGTTTGTGCTTACATTAGAGAGCATTTTCACTTCTGAGCTTTCAAGGGCAACTCCTTTTGCCAAATTGAAATTGGCTTTCAGGCCTAGAAACCAAAAGGTTATTAAGTGCATTTATTTTAACACCCCAGGACACTTTCTAAGTGTTATCAAGCCAGAATTTAGGGAAACGAAAGGAGAATAATGTGGACTTGCTCCCTCTGAATGCCTATAATCTGGTAGAAAAGGTGGACATACAAATATTTATTTGTAACCAGTGTGATGAGGGCAAAATGCATGTGCCTTAGAGGGCAGGGACACACAGAAGTCTGTCTTCAACACTTGTCCCTGATGCTGACACAGGGCCTGACACCTAATAGGCTCTGCAGGAAAGGAGCCCCAACTTCCAGCAACACCAGGAAGTCAGAGGAGCTCTCACAGAAAAGGGTGATATTGAACTGAGCAAGGAGGCATCTGGAAATAGTGTCACCTAATAATTACTGGCGATCAGACTGGCACACTGGAACCTGCTCACTATACCAGCTTTCTCCCACCAGCTCCCTGGGCAAGTTACTTCCTCTCTCTGGGCCTCCTGTTTTTCAGCTGTAAAAGGAGAGGGTTTTGAGCAACATAATCTCCAAGAGCTTTTGTGCATGTGTGTGTGTTAACTAAATCCTATAAAGTTTGCAGGGAAAAATAAACAGCTAGCACACAAAAACGGCAAGTTTGTACTACAAGCGAACTCTTCTGTGGATAATAGGCAAACAAAGTAACAGGAAATCAGACAAAACCAAGCAAAAAAAAGGTAGTGAAAGTTTTGGAAAAGGGAAGGAAGAGCTGTTCTCCAACAGTTGGGGTGGCTGGGGCTAGCAAGTAAAATGTTTTGAGGAAAAAAAACTGACTTGGTGAGGACTAAGTGGGGAAGAAAAGCAAGTAAAAGAAAATCCACTTAGATCTCTCCCTCCCTGGGCCTTGTCTCTCACCTTCTGTCTCTCACCACCACCACATGCTTCTCTCTGTCTCTGTCTCTCTCTGACCTTTGGTCCTACCCCCCCCCCCCCATTTTCTTTCTCTCCCTGTCTCTCTGTCGCTCTCTCACTCTCTCTTCGTTACTTCTCCAGAAGCGAAGTCTGGGTCGCGCGCGGACCGACTGTGGCTCTTGAATCCTATTTTGAGACGTCCCTTGGCAACAGAACCCGGCCCTGGGCTCTCCCCGGGGTCAAGGTCAGGCTAGAGCAGGTGAGGGGCGGCGCGCGCTCCCGAGCCCCCGCCTGGAGGGCGGGGCCGCGCCCCGACGCCCAGCCGCCCCCGCCCCTAGACCACGCCCCCCGGCCGCGAGTTTCCGGCCCCTGTGGCTACTTCAGGGCGCACGCGGGTCGGGTCGCCTCACTCCCCGCCGGCCGCCCTCCGGCTTGTGTTTCGTCCCGCGCCTCTCCTCCGGGGCCCCGCCGCCATGGGTCCCTGGCCCCGCTGGCTGCTCGCCGCCCTCCTGCTGCTCCTCTGCGGCGTCGGCCCCGCGCTCTGCGACACACCTGCCAACTGCACCTACCCTGACCTGCTGGGCACTTGGGTCTTCCAGGTGGGGCGCAGCGGTTCCCAGCGCGACGTCAACTGCTCGGTTATGGGTAAGTCGCGGGGCCCCCGGACCCGCTCCTTTCCCGCGCCAGCCGGGGACGCCGTCCTTTCTGTCCCCGAGCCCTTCTCCCCGCAGCGGCCACCCCGAGCGCCTCCGCCGGAGGTCAACGCCAGTGGGAGGTCCGGCCGGCTTGGCTGGACTTCGGGCCCCTTGGGGTGTCCTCTCTCGCGCCAGGCTGGCGAAGTCCAAGTTCAGCTGCTGAGAACTTCTGACTTCACATTTTCTTGGTTATTCTCGGGGCCTCAGCACTTTTTTCAAGAACTTTTTTTTCCCTTTAATTTTTGTTTTTGTGTTTTGTTTGCTTTGGAAGAGAGTTGAGATCGTGCCTTCTCTCCCGTCTGCAGTTTTTATTGTGCCGGTGAAAAATGAGCTCAAAGACTCGAGAACATAGAAGGAAAAGTTTTCTTCTTTTGTCAGGTTGTGGGAAAAAGGCCATATGCGCAGCGGTTTTGATCTGGACGTGTGTTGATGCTGCTAGTCCGAGAAAACTTCTGGTATCACTTTGCACTGTTTGATGTTATCACAGGGAGGCATATAAAAGATTTTTGGTTTTTTAATAACTGTTTAGCCAGTAATTGCATTTGGAAATGCCCAGAGCCAAGCACGATGCCTGGGATGCCTGGCTCGTGGAAGGCTCTCAATAAATATCTAATGTTTGAACACACTGGGATATTCCATATGCCCCCAGATAACATGTCTATACCAAGGGCCAAGAATTTAGTGAAGGGAGAATAAAAACCACAGAATCTCGGGTCGGAAGAGGCGCTCTTGTTCTGCCCAAACCCTTACCACCTTGTGGCTTGTACAGAACGGGTGAAGCTCTCAGCTGCAGTTTCCTTGTCAGCAGAACGAAGATTGCCAGGTCATCTGTTACTAAACAGACCTATTCAACTCTCTAACTCCAGATGATTGTGTGGCATCTGGGACTCCTGGGTGTTGTAACCATTTTCTCTTTTACAAGTTGAATGTGGAGGTCCGAAGCAGAAGGGAGATTAGGATTTGCACTGTTCTGTCACATGCAATCTCCTATTTCAGAGCGTTAATCTGAAACATGGAAAAACTGTCTAAAGTATGGAAACCTCCAGATGGACACAGCAGAACCCTTTTCAGGGAGCCTCTGCCTATAAACCATACCTTTGACCTTAATCTAATAATTAAAGACACCTGCAGATTTGAGCCCCCATCTTCTGAAGGTTGAAAGCTTAGTCCTCTCAGCACAAATTAGCTTTATAAGATATAAACCTCAAGTTTGCTGAATACCTTGGAAGGATTTAGATTCTGAGGTTCTGAACTGTAGAGCCATTGAGGAGGAAGATACCCCATTTCTTCTCTGAAGAGATCATTTCCTTTGTCCTTATGATCTGATAGCAGGTCTTTATATTTTTATATTTCCACTTTATGACTACCATTTTGTCTTCTCCCCATTTCTGCCTGTCAATTTCGACATTCCCTGTTTCTTGTTTTCTTCAGTGGAAAAATTTTTTCAGTGTTTGGATGCTCAGAGGAGGTAGGGGCTGTACTTTTTGGGGTCTCTCTGCCTGCTGGGCTACTTGACATATCTGTCTTTTGAGCCCTCGCTTCACAGGCTTGCCTGAGACCCCTCTGGGACTCTACGAGGGAGGTGACAAAATGGAGACTGGTATCTTCACAAGCCCGAGAGACCCAAATTGGGTAGCATGAAAGGAAAGCAGCTTACAAAGGATGGAAATTATGGAGGAGATTTTTCCTCCCATTGAAGTCCAAATAATTTTCCTTTGTTGTGCATTTTCTTTTCTTTAGGACCACCAGAAAAAAAAGTAGTCGTGCACCTTGAGAAGTTGGATACAGCATATGATGACTTTGGCAATTCCGGCCATTTCACCATCATTTACAACCAAGGCTTTGAGATTGTGTTGAATGACTACAAGTGGTTTGCGTTTTTTAAGGTTAGTTTTGTTGGAAAATGCATTCGTATTTTCAATGATTTGCTATCTGAAACATCTTCTTATCAGGAGACCTTTGGTATTTTAGTTTTTGATTAAGAAGATAACCAGAACTGATACCACTTTTTCCAAGAGAAGTTAGATGGTATAATTTTGTCACTTTATTTGAAATGATTTCAGTAGATTTAAAAAAAACAAAAAAACAACCTAATCTATATTTGAATATGTACAATCCATCTGTATTTAAATTTACATTTTGTTAAGTATGACTAAATGCTTAATTTATTTCCCTTATTACCACACCTTTATTTCTCAATGTTGCCGTAGTCCCTTGGCTTTGTACTCAATCTATAGGAAAGAGAGATATTATAAATGTCTTTTTCTTGGAGTCATTATGCTATCCAAGTCATTGCTTGTTGGCTCTGGGAAATTGACCTAAATGACTCATTGACGATTTCTAATGTACTAAATAACTTAATGTGAATAACCTATTTGACTAAACTAAGACGAAAAGGTAGAAAGCATCCGAGTTACTCCTTGGGCTAATTAAAGTAAAAGGTAGCCCAGCCAGCCCAGCCTGTTTTCTTCTCTCACTAGGGAAGAACTGTTGCCCATTCTTATACACTAGTCCCCCCTTATCTGCAGGGGATGCATTCCAAGACCCCCAGTGGATGCCTGAAACCAGAGTAGTACCGAGCCCTATATATACTATGTTTCTTCCTATACATACATACATACCTATGATAAAGTTTAATTTATAAATTAGGCACAGTAAGAGGTTAACAACAATAACTCATAATGAACTAGACCACTTATAACAATATACTGTAATAAAAGTAACCATAGATCTTAGCAACTTCAGCATGCAGGTTTTTTTCTTTCCTTATCGAGTCACGAACTTTCACCTTTTCACTTAAAGGAAGCACTTTACAGCTTCTCTTTGGTGTATCGGAATTGCCAATATCACTACTCTTGCACTTGGGGGTCATTATGAAGTAAAATAAGAGTTAACATGAACACAAGCACTGCGATACCGCAGCAGTAGATCTGATAACCGAGACAGCTACTAAGTGACTGAGGAGTGAGTAGCGTATACAGCGTGGATATGCTGGACAAAGGGAACATCATAACATTCACATGTGAACATAACATTCACAACCCAGGCAAGATGGACCGGGATGGCACAAAATTTCATCGTGCTACTGCAGCCAATTTAAAACTTATGAATTGTTTCTGGAATTTTCCATTTAATATTTTTGGACCAAAGGTGACTGTGGGTAACTGAAACCGCGGAAAATGAAACTGCCGATAAGGGGGGACTACTGTATTCTAATGTATTGTTTCCAATTGCAGACACACTCTGGGGTAAAATAGTTTAGCACAGATTGCAGTCCATGCCAGATATCCTTCTGAAGTTGGAATTTTTCCTGTTAGCAGAGTATTAAATGGTTTAAGTAAATTGAATCCACAAGCCTGAGACTAGCTGTTTCTTATTATAAATAGCGTATAAAGAAAGACAGATTTCTTCATGTGGTAGGGTTTACAGCCTTGGAACATCTGGTAAGAATTGACCAATTACAGGGACTCGTGGGAAAGTGGGGAATGATTCTGTTTAGGATGATGAAAGACAAAGCACTAACAAAAGACTAACTTCTAAATTATTGTGATTTCTCACATGGGTTGTGATTTAATCACCGGGATCCGGTGTTACATCTGAGCCAACCATATTTCTTAGAATAGTAAGTCCCAATAACTTTTTTTTTTTTTTTTTTACTATCAGGACCCTTCTTTAATGTGAAAAAAGAAAAGAGAGACAGAGAGGAAAAAGTTGTTTCCCGTCACCTGGATGGGCTGGTCTGATGTTCAGCTGGTGGGAACTGGTCTGTTCATGCTGGTTTTTGAGGGCGAGCAGTCCATTTTATTAATTGAAGCCCATGCTTGACCAGTTATTAAACATTTTTAGTATCACCCCTGGATACTATGTATTTTTTTAAAAAAATCATAACACTATCTATATGAATTTTGAAAATTGAAGTGCATATGTGGTAAACATAATTCAATCTGAATATAGTTCTTGGTCTGCATATTTATGAGCCTAGGGCTTTGTAGACCTCTTATAAGGTACTCTGTGAAAGCCTTTCAAGCGTATTTGCCTTCAGGTTGAGAATCAATTATTTATGGAACTGATGCACAAGGAAAGAGATACTCAAGACTATTGTTACTATGTACCCTCCTCCCCCTCCTCCTGTCTTCTCCAGCCTCCCTCTTTCTCTTCCCTCCCCTTTACCTTCCCCTCCTCCTCCTTCCCCTTCCCCTTTCTTGCTTGACATATAATAGACACTTAGTCGATATTTGTTTTAAAAAGTGAAAATGAATCAAGGAACTGGAATTCAGTTGAGGAATAGGTTGAATAAATTAAGTGCAAGATGAGGAGCCGTATAAAAATAGATGAGTGAGTAGTTTTACCCATTTGGCTTAGAAAACTTCTCATTCTTCACTTCTGTAGAGTTGGAGAAACTGGTAGGGAAACTTCTCAAGTCACCATTTAATTACCTGAGCCATAATCAGATGTAGACAAGGGCAATTTCTCTCCATTAATATTTTTTTGTCACTTCGCTCTCAGCTTGAATAGGAGTCTGGAGCTAGTGGGGACAGAGCTCGTGGCTGAAGGAGGAATTGGAACACTTTGTTTTTCAATTACAGTGTAAGCAGATTTGGTATTTTTCCATAGCTTCGGAACATTAGTTGCAGCTCAATAGAAAACCACTTTTAACACCTAATAAGGTTCTAAGTGTTCTCAACCATAAGTGGGAAGAGTCAATATATATGCTGTTATAGGGCAGAACCCTACCTAATTGTATGTTTCTGGATGGCATTCTGTCATTAGGAATAAAAATAGGAAGAGTGTTGTTCTGCTCCTGATTTCACTGTATTTTTTTAAAGTACCCGTTTGACCAGAACCATTATCAGAGCCATTTTTCTTTTCCTGCTGAAAAATCAGCCACTCTAACTGGCTAATAGTTAGGCCTTGTGATAAGGATCATAATTTCAATAAGCAGAGTAGATATACATAAGATACTTGGTTTTAAAATTTCTCTTAATATAATCAAATAGTTCCAGATAACATCATGTTCTTTTAGCAAATCCAAATGAAAGAGTAATGGGGAGCAGAGTTTTAAAAAATTTAAGAAAAATGATAGAGTGGAGTTGACTTTAGGTAATAGGAAAGTCAAGTGCTTTTGGTGATGCTTGTTAACACAAAAAGCTTGCTGGATTTTACCACAAGCATCAGGGTATTTTCTACCTTGGTGCTGGGGAAACCATGCTGGGTGTGTAACTCAAGAAAAACGCAAACCTATTTAATGAGTAAAGCACATAAGAGTTTTTCCTACAGACTTAGATAGTATCTTTTAAATGAAAATTAATTTACTTTAGAAAATGAAGAATTCTCAAAACTTAAGCAGCATTTGCTATTCAAGTTTAGTGTCTTAGGTAAACTACAATGTAGTCCACTCAACCTACCACCATTACAGAAATATTTTGCCCTGTATACCTGCCATGGTTATTCTATACGTTGTTATTCTACAAATCTGTTGGATTTCCAGATCTCTCCATTGACTCATACCAGACCCTACCACTTATTTCCTTTTGCCCTCTTCAGATACACTTTGATCAGATTGTTTCTTATTGTTATTCCTCCTAGTGTTTGTTGAGTAGGTGATACGTGCAGAGTATTCTGTTAGGTTCCTGTTCCACCTTCTACTCCCCCAGAGCCTCCTGCAGCTCAACAGAGCAGACAGCTTCCACATCATTCTCCCTGCATTCCAACTTTGAAGGAATTGTGATACCACTCCTATTGCTAGGAACACTTGCTTTCTTAAATTCTCCTTATTCAGGCCTCACCTGGAAGATGAGCATTTTACATGATTTGAGGATCCTAAGCCTTTTTTCCCCTTGGTTTTAACTGCTTGAGAAATTGGGAGTGGAGTGGGGATAATCTATCTTTTTTTGCTTGTGATTTCAAGCTAGATAAAAGCTTGGTAGGAATTAAATCTTGATTTAACACTGAAAGTTTTTGCGTAGTTTGAGTTGAGTGGGAAGCAAAAGGTATATATTCTTAAAAGATAGTTTTTTCTACTCAAGTTCCTATAGGCATTCAGTTATCTGAACACTTTATGGGGGTTTCAAACTCAAATGCATTTAGGGCCCACCCAGGCAGATACTCTTAAGCATTTGACACAAACCTTATGTAAAACAATAAGGAGTAATTAGACCTATGGCAAAATGGAAACTTTAGTAGAGGCATTCAAATTCAATTTTCTTTTAAAACAATGTGGTGGACAAAATAAAATCTGCAGTAGTATCTGCAGGCCAGTTTCTAAGACTATCAGATTTTAATAGCATTTACCATTTGGTTATAATGGGCACACTCCAACAAATTTGCACCCCCTTCTAAGTACCTGCGGATTAAAAACATCAAACTGCTTATATGAAAACAATGGAACAAAACAAAGGATGTTTAATTATGGCTGACTTTATGTGATGGGTTGTAAGTGATTATTTCTTCTTCTTTATGCTTTTATGTGCTTTGTTCATTTTTTACGATGAGCGTGGATAAAGCTCCTCTGTACTCCATCCTCTCTGTCAAATTGCCCAGAGGAAGGAAGTCGCATGAAACAAACTAAGCTGCAAAGAATGCCCTCCAGTTGAATAGGCTTTCTAACCTTTCACTGTTTGTCATTTCACTTTCTCTGAGGCCGTAAACGGGAGCAGTAGAGAAGGAACTCAGATTTTATTTTGAAGATTTAAGCCAAACAAGGACTGAAGAAGATTCATAGAAGGGAAAATAGACTCATGGTAGAAAATTTTAATGGGTGATAGTCAATCTTCATTGATTTCTAATTGAGTTTTCGTTTGGGGCCACCAGGCTTAGTAGAACTGTAAACTAAAAAATACTGCTATGGGTGTTTCTAAAGCAGGTTGCTATTCAAAACAAGAACAAT